ATTATTGACTAAACTTGTTTCACATTCCAACACAATTTTATTTACCTGATCTAATCATCCTAGATTATTACCCCATCAATCATTGTTTTTCAAACAACTTCATCCATACAAATATATACAATAATTATATTTATATATTTACGGAGTACAATGATTTCATATTCTTAAGAAACTGATATTAAATACAATATACATAAATGTTAGACTTAATTTATGTTTACATACTAAGCTAATTAATATTTTAGTTCAAAATGCATATTTTGGATCTAGCCTATATAATCAAAAGATGCAATTAAATAATTTACTATAATTGGATTGCATTTAAATTCTTCATTATCCATTCTCTTTATATATTAAAAAAAAACTAAAACCAATATGTGAATTACCATAGATTGTGTCTAAAATCACTAAGGATTGCCCTATGCTATTTTTTTTGGAACCACATATTATTTATTTACCAAGCTTTTATTCCTTGTTTTTTTGCTTCTCCAAGGTAATGCTTTTTAGAAATGATAAAATTATTTGATTTATCATTTTTAATTTTACCATGATTCCATTTGTTGTTTCCCCCATTCATTTTAAATAAAATATTTGCAATACATGCCCCACAATTTACACTTCATAGTTCTTATATTCATTTGTTAATATTAGCTTTACTATTTTTATTATTGCTCATAATATTTTTTTTATTAATCATTTACAGGACAATGACTCTACCTATAAAAAAGATTAAAAAAATACAACTTCTACCCTTCATTATGAGTTAGGGCTTGTCATGTTTGGATTGCTAAATTTAATGGCCAGCCAAGTAGTTTTAATTGTGTTTTTATTGATAATCAGGTAAAATTTATTATGAAAATATAACCACTAATGAATCTTATTTTCTATATATTTAAATGTTTGAATAATACATCTGCACTCATCTTTAGATATTTTCTTTAGCCTGACAATTTACCATTTTTTTTTTACTTAATGGAAGACATTCTTTGCTCCTAAGATTCCCCACAGAAAACCAAGTTTCCTTTTCTTTTTGATTTGTTACTCTAGACTTTGCTATAGTTAAATTCACTCCAAGACCAAGAATTGCTTATTCAATTCCTTGTAAGAACTTTATAACTATTGAAATTTTTTTAAAAAATATGACGCAGCCAATAATCACGTAAAAACAAGGTATTTTTAACAATGAATGCTTTTTATATAGAAATATTATTAAAATTATATGCAATAATCATTTTCTTTTACAATCATTGATGTGAAAAATATGAATGTCGTGGCTAAGCCAATCCTCTTTCACATATTTCACTTCTATATATAATTTACACTCAACTTCATTATGTACATGCTTAAAAAACTAGACAAACCTTTTGCATTACATTTGCTTTATATAATTTATAGAAAATTTTATAGAGGTTAGACAAGTTTCAGATATTTTATACAAGCAAACCAGTCTTTTGGCTTAATGTTCTAGTGGTGCCAATACCTCCCTTCCAAGGTCAAAAAAAATCTTTTTTAAATAATTTACAAAACCTTATTATATATTGCATTGAAAATTCTATTCCATTTTGTTGTTCACATGATGAACAATTATTTTTTTCATTCCAATATTAATCATCTTTTTATATAGGGTGGAGCTATTCAAGATTTAGCTAAAGTAAGGGATTTCCCAACATTTACAGCAATAATTATTGAAGGAAATCACTATGAAATCAAAGGATTCTATACTTATGAAAACAGAGTAGTAAACACAGTTGCTGCCTATGATGCTGTAATTGATCTCAAATCTAACACAAAAATTACAGGCATTGAAGCTATTACACCTCATGTTCCTAGATACTACTTCAATTTTATTGACTATGCACATATTCTGACCAAATCAAAAGGCTCCAGAATTCTTACAGGTTTAGCATTTACTTCATTCATTTAGCCTATTATAAAACATTTCTATTATTGAACTCAACTTGATAACATCACTTAAAGGCATTCATTCCTGTTTTTTAAGATGTCCTTGGAAGACTTAAAGCATTGCAACCACTTGAACAAGTTATGGTGCGTGGACAGACGCTCGAAAATAAGAGAGAATTCATGCTTGAGAACATTCGGTGAGTTGAAAAATTAAATGCAAATTACCTTACTTTTATCAAGCTTATTGATCTAATTTATTTTGTATTTTCTTTCAAAGTGGTGAGGAGCTTCGCATAACTCTTTGGGGTGATAGTGCTAGAGATTTTAATGAACTCGCTCTTCATAACCTACCATCTCCTGTTATTATTGCGTTTGCTGGATTTCGTGTCACAGAATTTAAAGATAATCTTAACTTTCATTTAATTTTTTTTCTAAAAATAATTTTTTTTAAGATTTTTATTTTCATTCTGATCCAACTAATTCTCCTTTCATTTTATTACAAAAAAACTCTTTTGTTCACAAGGAAAACCAAATCTTAACAATACAGTCACCTCTCTTTGGTACTTCAATCCAGACATACCAGAATGCTTAGCATATAAACATTTGTAAGTTATTCCAATATCAACCATCCCTCTTATGCTTTTCCATTATCAATTTTTTTCTAACTAATTATTTTTTCACTATCTTTTTTAATTGATTGTACATGCAGCTTTGCACAACTACCTGTTGAAATACAACAACTCCCTTCATCATCAAATATTGTTTTATCGATAGAGGAACAAATCAAAGAAAATAGAAGAACAATACATGAGATTCTTTGTATGAATCCTTATGAGCACAAGGTTACTTTTTAAACCCTTTTATTATTAGCTTTGATAACATGCTTTACCTTCTTCATATAATTAGTTTTTTAAATTTCATTTAACCACATTCCTAAAACATATATTTTCTTGTCATTACCAGCATCTAAGATTCACCTATCAAGCTTTGATTGTTGACTTTGATTTTCCCAATGGCTGGTGGTATCCAAGCTGTCCAAAATGCAACAAAAAACTTAGTGGGGGTGAAAAAAAATTAC